GTTGTTCTTGTGACACGGTCTGCTCCACGGACGACCCATCACATGAACAAGTGACATCAAGCAATGAGGGGTTGGAGATGATGGCAGGCAGTCGACATAGATAGAAGTCGAACAAGAAGGCAATGATCATAGATATTACTAAAAAAGGATTCGGTGACTTGTCACGAAGAACTAGGCATGACAAAAGTGGTAATGCTCACAAACGTTACTGCAAAGAGGGTCTTTGAGAGAGAGAGAGAGAGAGAGAGAGAGAGAGAGAGAGAGAGGAGGAGGAGGAGGAGGAGGAGGAGGAGGAGATCAGGTGCAGAATAGAGAGAAGGAAGGAGGAATACTGCAGCCTGCTTTTATCGCTGCCAAACTGGGGAGAGTAAGCGAGTGAGCAAGGTTGAGTCAGAGAAGGTGAAGGCCGCACGTGTGGCGAGACCTGGCTTGAACCAGTAGGGGACCATCGATTTCTCTCGTCATCAACCCTAATCTGATGCAGAGAGCACAGTCGATCGATCCAGGAAGATGACTGGTGTTGCCTTGCGTCAGTGTGGAACGTGGATGTTGAAGGCTACACTGGGTGGAAGAAGATGGTGCAGCAAGATGAGACGGAGTGCGAAGAAGACAGGGATTATGATAGAAGAGGTGGGAATGGGAAAGAAGGAAACATACTGTAGTTATTGCACCTCTCTGATAGCAGATGGATTGAGATCTCTCCTCTCTCTCTCTCTACTTTCCATTCTCAAGCAGATCAAACACAGCAAAGAAGGCAAGAGAGGAGTTCCACACGACACATCTCTTTGATCCTAGTCTCTTGGAACAAATGAACGATGATTACCAAAGGGTTCAATACAAGAGGAAGACACAGCGATCTGCGATCAATTAATGTCGGCAGTAGTCGGATTCAGTTCCAAGAAGCTCGAGAGAGACACAGAGAGTTGCCGTCTCTTCCCTCTTTCTTCATTAGGTATGTAGAGAATCGCCAATGACAGCATCATGCACGAGCCAAGAACAATAGAAGAGAGATGGAGGTTGAGGGAGAGAGAGAGAGAGAGAGCGACTCAGGAACTAGAGGAGCCCCTAAGCAGAGCGCCAGATCCGTCACCGGCCCCTGAACCAGAACTTCCGCCACTGAGAACAGTGGAGGTGGATGACTCACCTGCGGGGTGGGCTTGGCCGGCGGCGGCGGGGGCGCGCTTCCTCTTCTTCTTCTCGTATGGGATGCCGCGGGCCTTGGCCTGGCTCTCGCGGACGTCGCGGAGGTAGATGCGGACGGCGCGGGCCGCGAAGGGGTTGGTCTCGGGGGTGCCGCCGGACTCCTCGTAGGCGGCACGGAGGCGGCCGATGAGGGCGTCGAGGGAGCCCCAGGCCTGGCGCAGGGGGCAGGCGCAGGGCCCCGGCGGGCTAGCGTGGCCGTAGAAGGCGCACCCGGGGGCGTGCACCTTCGTCTTCCCGAACTGGTCCAGGTAGCGCAGGAACTCGATCACGTGCGCCCCGCTGCAGCGCGCCAGCGCCAGCGGCGGCTTGTGGTTCCGCAGGTACTGCAGGAAGGTGTTCCAGTCCCGCCGCTTCTGCGACTCGTACCTGCTCGGCGCCGCCGCAGCCGCCCCCCTCTGCGGCCCGGCCTTCCCCGCGCCGCCACTGGACGGCCCTTCACCCCCCGTGGACGTGTCTGCTGCCCCCGCCGAGTCCATGCACCAACTTCCACTGCTCCCCACTCCCTTTACGTTCTCTCTCTCTCTCTCTCTCTCTCTCTCTCTATCTATCTACTTCCGACTGAAGAGAATGGAGGAGGAGCGAAGCAAAGAGAGCCAGAGTGAGAGAGAGAGAGAGAGAAAGAGAGATAGAAGATGCGATATGGGAAGGACAACAAAAAGGGAGATGGGTGTGTGAGAACACGTGGTGGCCCCCGGGGATTGGGATGTCACTTATGGAGCTCTCCACTGTAGGAAGAAGAACAGAGTCTGAGGATGTGTATACATTTGGGTCAGACAACCTTGGTAAGGCAAAACAATGAGTCTCACAATATAATTGGCTGCATAAATTGGTGGTGATGCAATGTCTATCATGTCACAAACTTTCCACTCTGTGAGAAGTATATCTTGCTAACAATAAAATAATAATAATCTTTGAATAAATAAGGTATAAAATTCAAAAAGAAAATTAAGTATATATTCCTTCAATATTTTTGTAATTAAAATAGAAAATTAGTGTGATAATATTAAATTTTAATTATAATCATGATTACTAATGAAAGTGGCATATGCAAAAGATT